GGGACCAAACCAAGGACGATACTGTCCTTCGTCTATGTGAGCCCACGCAGCTCGACCACATACAGGGCCTCCCTTGGGGTGTTTCCTTTTCAGTCTACTCCAGTATGCCTCAATGGCATTGCTGTGCCGTCCGGTGATAGGATCCTTGAAGTTATTTGAGTGGTTACCGGAGAAATGTAGATAACCTTCTGAGGGAAGACGATTATACGCCTTCCACTCGTCCGTTACCACTATACTGCCTTTGGCGACTCATTTTGTAATAAGGGAACGGAGAGCGGGCCAACGCTGACTATTCACCTGTTCAAATAAGGCTTTCTGTCGGCTAGTATCGTACATCCCGACCAGCCACCACGCATAAAACCCCTATTACCACCTGTCCCGTAAGACAGGCTGCTATGGTTAGGCGGATTTTTTTGGGTGTCATCTCCCGATTATTACCATCACCTCTTAAATGGACTGCGCTGCAGGTACGCTTAACCAGAGCAAAACCACGCTGGCTGACGATGCACGTACTCCGGACTGCACTGAGTCTGCGTGTGACATTCTGAAGCCGGATGCTTTCACTGCACGCTAGCTACTATGCTTCACCTCATCAGCAGCGGCTCGACAGGCTCGGAGAGTCACCGAGTATGGGAAAGAGAAGAGGGGGAGATGGAGAGGGAGGTAGTGAAGCCGATAAGTCTATCCTCTCCAACATTCATCCATCCTCACCAATCCCTTAATTCCACACCGCAGCAACACTGACGCACCTGAACTGGCACGCCATGCTGGCCTTTGTGACTTGAAGGGCTGCCAGCCGATTGGACAATTCTCTTCTCGGAAAGGCAAAGCGGACTGCAATGGTTCTTCATTAATAGGAGACCTTGTAAGGATAAAGTATACGACTGGGTTAGGTTTACTATCGAGAACTGCTTACTATATTTATCAATATAGACCTTGTTCGGTGGCATTTTTGATCGGAATGCGATCAAACCCTTCGACGGCTCTAACCCCGGCAAGATGACATTATTTGAACTAAATCGCCCCTAGTACTCAGTGCCGCAAAAATGTCTATACAGACTCGTTTTTCTGCACCCCCATAAGTAATTCTTTAATAAAAGGCAAACGATTCGTCCGCAGTTAAGGGAATGCAAGAGGCGTCTTCCTATGCATATTCAAATAATCAACATCGCTATCATATCCGGGTGCCCAACGGAGAACGTTAGGACACGACCTACTTCTTTATATCTGAGAAGTAGTTTTTTTCCTTGAATTTCGAGATTGAATTCCGCTTACTATCTTACCACCGACAAAGTTTCGTGGTACTTTTTGACTTTTTTCAGTTTCCATGCCAGGGTCTCCTAACTCCTCGTTGTAAGGCCCCACCGGTATGACCTCTATTACCACCATCCCGTAAGACACGCTCCACAGGTTACTTTTTTCTGACCCTGGTCATATACTTTATCCATGTCTAGGTCCTTCTCACATCTTTCATTCGTGCACGATTCGCGTTCTTGTGAGGCAGACGATGAATAGCGACTTCAGGTCATATCAGCCACTAAGCCCAGTCTCATTCAGATTGTCTAACTCAGAGAGGTCGTTGGTCGAAGGAATTAAAGAGAGCGAGAGAGGGAGGGAGGGAGGGAGGGAGAGATGGAGAGGTAGATCCAGTCCGGATCTCTCGTCTACTTCCTCAGCAGAAACAACCAAATGCGCTAGCAGTTGACGTCCGGAAGACCGCTAACTGACGGAATCCCTCGGTATTTCTCAGGACCGAGAGTTAGGCCGTAAGGGCTGCTTCTCAAGGTGACCTCTAAGGCAGTCTCGAGTGTAATGAGAACAGAGACACTCGAGTTTAACCCAGTACGTGTGGAGTTAGAGGCGAGATCATGTTAGGCGCGCACGTCCTGGATATGTAGCTCCACAGCTACTGGAACTACGTCCATCTCTGGTCGTCATGGTTTTGGTGGAAGTGGATGGTTGTGAGAGAAGGGAGTGGGCAAATGCATCAGGTACACAACAGACAAATTAGCAGAATGGTATTAAAGACGAAGACAGGGGAGACTGGAGTGGTCATTAGCTCTCGTCAGTCAGTCATACCCAACTCCGAAGTGCGGAACACTTGGGCTCGATCCCACGGCCCGTTAGTTTGAAGTCCACGCCTCTGCCACTGAGCCAGGGACTCGTTAAGCTGTCGGTTGAGATTGGGAATGTAAACTGGTAGAAGTTTGCGCTCGTCAATCGTTTCTACGGAACTCAATCATCTCGTGGTGCCTTACGGCTCTCTCTATCGAGCCCAACCAGCAGCCACACAGTGGCGCGTGCTATAGGCAGAACGGTATTACCGACAAAGACAAGGGAGACTGGAATAGATATTTCTGGCTTATTAGCCGTCGTCAATCCGCCTATATCATGCGCCGCTGTGTGGCTGTTGGTTGGGCTCGAGAGAGAGAGAGCCCTAAGGCACAACGGGACGAGTGGGTTCCATGGGAGCGATCGATGAGCACGACCCTCTACCATTAAACAAACTAGCCTTCAAGTGATGGCTGCGTTCACCTCGTGGGATAGTGTGGACCTTGTCATTGGTGAGGGCCAAACTAGCAGGCTATTACCGGCTAAATAATGCAGTTTCGCAGGCATCGGTATAGAGAAAGACCCCAATTAACCGTCAGTAGACTATGGATACGTGATTTACGATAAGGAGAGTTTTATGGGTGGGACAGCACGCAAGACAGTAATCTGGCAAAATGAAAGAAAACACAGAAATCGCCTGAATTTATGCCGAAATTCTTATTCTACGCTATTGTACGACAACGGAAATGAGGGTAGTATTTAAACAATAAACGGTAAGTAAACTTCACAAAATAACGGATTTCGAGATAAGGTGTGAGGTCGTGGGAAGTAATCATTGTGGGCAGTGTAATTTTTGCAACAGCCAACAAATGTATCCTAAGATAAAGCCCCATTTGAGACGATCCACAGGCTACTGACAGTTAAGTGGGGTCCTTCTCTATATCGTTGCTAATTCGCATTATTTCAAATGCTATTCAGGATCACTGAAGCAGTTGGAAGTGCGTTTATAGACCGAAAACTGTGAAATGCTGCAGAACGCAAGATCCGTAGTCCCTTACTTAAACTTCAAAAGGTTTCACGTTCAGGAGAAAATTCAAATTTGCTACATTGGGAAGATGGAAATTTATAATTTGCATCGACCTATAACATCTACAGTGGTCCTACACTGTGTGACTGCTGAGGAAGCTGCATGGCTACAGCTGCCTCCTGGAGTGTAGTCTAAAAGTCCAGGAAAGGCAATAGTTGAAACATCTGTTATTGATAGCCATCACGGCCATGTCTGGCGTCCTTGTTTAGGGTCTCGTTAGTTCAAGGGGACGTTAAGCGTTCCAGACGCACTGAACTGCAGCCACTCGACTGAATTCAACTCAGACGCACGTGCGTGCAGAGTCGCAGTTTCCCATGCGCCCCATAGACTCACCACCCACCTGCAACCAGCAACATAAGCCACTTGAAGGTCAACCCTCGACAAATGAAACATACACCGATTGGACACCATACCTACAAAAGCGACTGCCAACCCTTTCCTACGAACTCTCAGGCATTACTAAACGCAGTCGACACCAGCCCTGGCCTCGCCAGCTGCCACTGCCACCTGAGACGACAACCCAGGGTTCTGTATACAAAAACCCCTCAGTCTGGCGCCTTGTGTCTTCTCCTACAACACGGGATTTGGCCTGATGATTATAGCACTCTGTGTGCACACTCCGTCCGCCGTGGCACTACACCTCCATGGAAAATAATGTTTTGCTCGAGTTCTTGAACTGAGAAAAAAAATGAACTGAATAAGACGACCGTCAGTCGTCTGGGTGGTGGCCACTACCTTTTTGAGTGTATCTTCAATAATTAAATGCTGCGCTTTTCGCTGCATAAAAATCTTTTGAAAAATTTGCCGAGAGGTTTTCAGTACACATTAGGCATTTCCTCAGTTTGACGATACCGAGCCAGGCAGCAACTGTTTTCCAAGTTGCAAAAGTTGTAAAAGTGGAAATACTGCGAATAATCTGATCACATCCGGACGCTATTTACGCCGCCACCTTCGACCCTATACACTGCGTTATCTGGGATGGCTCGATGGTAAAGGCCAACGGAGTCTGCACCTAAAATCTGAGAAGGACCTGATTCAACAGCGCGTCTACAAATTACATCGCATTTTTAAGATGAGGAAATAAACTCGGGATAGGAAACACTAATTACTAAAAAGTAGTGAGAAACTGCAAGGATTCTTCGGCCACAGTAGACTCATTCGCAACTAAGAAGGTATTTTGGGCCATGCAGACCACAGGAACTTCGCTAGTGTTTAGTTCGATTTTATTTGACTCGAAGAAACCAAAAGCCCTGGACGACTGAGCGGAGGATTTTTAGCGACTTTAATCACCCTTCTGCAGTTTGTGGGAGAACGCGCGAAGCACCACTACCCAGGTAGTGAAAATGCTTACTTGGGGACCGTGGAAGTGTTACTGTGAAATCTCTTACTAAACTTTGGTTCCAAATACCGGACTGAAATTAAAACAAGGAGGTAGCTTCAAAAAATCGGCGCGAGCTGACGTATGGCTGGCTGTAATCAAAAAGTGCACCCTCCTTTACGGCAAGTTATCGTAGTTCGTCCGGCATGATTAGAAAAAGGGGACACGTGTCAAAGCCCCGACAACATTATCTAAAGCACACACCAACGACGGCCATGCCCGTTGGGAAGACGTACAGGCGAGCCAGCGTGCTGTCCAATGAGAAGAACGCTCGTCGGCATTGGCTAGTCATCTATTAGAACAGCCAATGGGAAAAAGAAAAAGTCGATACGTCACAGAATGCCTATAGAAGGCGCGGAAATGACTTTCGCAGGCATTAGAGGTTCAGCTGCGGTCAGAAACGGTTGGGAGGTTTGGCTGCCACTGCCGCTTGGAATTACGCTCTCTCGGCATTACGCTCTGGACATTTGCCTTTTGAAACCAATGGAGTCATTGCAGAACGGGCGGTTCGAATACCAATCCAAACTATCACTTATAGACACTCAGCACGCCATCAAGGTGGTTAAAGATACTTTCCAGCAGGCCCTTGCGACTAAACTCAACCTTACCAGAGTCTCGGCGCCGTTGTTTGTCGCTGCCGAAAGTGGACTAAATGACGATCTCAACGGGTATGAGAGGCCTATCTCGTTTGAATTCAAGTCGAAGGCGAAAGGTGTCATCATTCATTCACTGGCAAAATGGAAGCGAATGGCTTTGAAGCGATATGATTTTGAAGTAGGAAGCGGTCTCTACACAGACATGAATGCCATACGACGAGATGAAGATCTGAGTCCAATACACTCCTATTACGTCGACCAATGGGATTGGGAGGTGGTGATACGCAAGGAGGACAGAACGTACGATATGCTAAAGGATGTCGTGGAGCGAATATATGAAGCATTAAAGGAACTCGAAGAGAAGATTGTCAAGGCATATCCTTGTCTTACCCGAAAACTGCCAGATAGCATCACGTTTGTCAGTTCACAGGAGCTTGAAGATCTGTATCCAGAAATGACGCCGAAGGAGCGAGAACGGGTTTATTCGAAGAAGTATGGAGCCATTTTCATTACCCAGATCGGGAAGACGCTAAAATCGGGGAATAAACACGATGGACGTGCGCCTGACTATGATGACTGGGAACTAAATGGGGACATTATTGTTTACTACGAACCGCTGGACATCGGTTTGGAGTTATCTAGCATGGGCATCCGCGTGGATGAGGAGGCCATGGAGAGGCAGTTGAAGCTTGCTGGACAAGAAAAAAGGAAGCAGTTTGATTTCCACAGGAGACTCCTAAATGGTGAACTCCCATATACGGTAGGCGGTGGCATTGGTCAATCCCGGTTGTGCCTCTTCTTTTTGGATAAGGTTCATATCGGAGAAGTCCAGGTCTCCCTCTGGTCCGATGAAATTGTACAGGATTGTTTGAAAAAGAATATCCATTTGCTTTAGTTCAGTAAATTAATGGCATGTGTATGACTTATTTTAACCTTTACAAAACTTGGTTTAGTCATACGTCCGGATTTTGGGGCGTTTGTGTGCCCCAGTAAGTCAGTGCTGCATTCGCGTTAGCCGCACCTCGTCCCTTACCTATGACCTGTTCGCTGGGCCGTATAGTCTTTTTGACATTGTGTTCTGGACAAGCTCGTCAAGGCAGAAGTCATCAGGAGAGGCAGTGGAACTCGCGTAGACCGCGTAGCTGTTCTCGCTTATGTGGCCTACCTATCTTCTGTACCCGGCAATCAGGGTATGTATAGACCACTGTCGTCCAATCTCGGTAGGAAACCATGAGAAATCTTATTAGCCCTGTTCTGATGCGTGCAGGTCCGCGTAGTGGGTCAATGTGTTTCAAGACTGGTAGGTAGACGTTCGCATCCTCTCCAGATGTTGGTATGTGCCCTCGTGAGACAGGCATTACATGGGATGTAAGACGAAAATACTCGAAAGGAACAACGTTCGGGCTGCAACCAACCTTACAGTTCTTAAGACGGTCGGCACCTTACTTAGATGTGTTAATAAGATTTCTTAATAAGCATTACATTTAGGAAGCCAGTTTCACGCGAGCGTGCATTCTAGATTATTTTTCGATCGCGCCAAACGGGATTCTGGCCTGAATGGTACTTTTCGCGAACCCAAAAATCATTTAAGGTCGTCCGATGCGTGCAGCTTATTTTTTTTTCTAACCGGAATTCTTGCCCATTAAAATTGCACAAGGCTTATTCGTGCGGTTTGACTTATGACTTAATTTTCATTGCTTGTTGGTCTTAAATAGGAACTTGCTGAGGTATTTAGATCCCTGATTATTCCCGGGCTGGGAGGACCAGTTGCTTGTGTTCTGCGGTGACATTGGACCAGGAAACATTTGGCGTCTTATCAAAATATGTGGCGGGATTTGCATCGCATTTCAACAAATACCGAGAGCACTTATCAATTCCGTCAGACAAAAATTGAGCAAAGTACGGGCTTTAGAGGTCTGGATTGGGTTCAGTTATCTTACTTCACCCCGGGGCCGCTCATTTGAGTTGCTCCGTCACAATACTGTCTTACTGAATTAATAACGGATATCTCGCCTAGGTAGAGGCCCACGAAAATGTCTAAAAATGGCTCTTTTGCATGCTTAGTGACCGAAGTAGCCGTCTGAAACGGGCCAACATTTCTTTTACTGCCAGGAAGCATTTGTTGCTCACTGGAGACGACCACTTTTGAGGTGGTAACTCCTTTGAGACCACGGTGAGGGAGTGTCTTGACCAACACTGGCAGCCATAAAGTCTTCTTTATCACGGTGTTCAACTGATTACATAAAGACAACAGATGTGTTCACAAAATGACTGTTCAGTTACACGTAAACCATCCGACCTCTGGTTCTCACGCAAGTAGTGCGCTGTTCACATGTTGCAATGGTGTTCGTCACACTGCGTCTACCGGAAGAGTCGCGTGGACCGTTGCGATTCGGGGTGAAGTTAGAGTTAACTCCGAGGATCTTTACTTACTCAGCACCTGAGTTGGGTATTCAGACTTCAGATAGGGAACAGACATGCACGCTGGACTGACGAAGGCTGCGCGCCCCAGACTTTGGTACCAGGATCTTGGGAAGTTCCCATATTCCAGCATCCAGTATTAAGTGTTAATTTCCGATTGAGTAGTCCGTCTCACAAAATATTTGCCCGCGCGACTGAACCAGGGAGCGCGTCGGTTCTCCCGGACGCCTTAACATGTATCGTAATACCCGAATCCGTTTAATGAGGTTTCGCGAGGATTTTGAGTACAGGGGATTCCCCAACAGCTGTTCGGATTTCTTGTTGAGGTTGCATCTAGCGCTTTGGTTCAATAACCTAACCATAAGGCACCGGTGACAAACTAACTTATTTAAAGGCGGTTCGTGATCTCCATATCATAGTTCTGTCATCATGCTTTGCAGCATTTTATAAGGCAGCCGGTGTGCCAGACTTCAGTGTGCAATACTAACCCGCTAGATGACAGTTCGATCGTCATAAACGAGGACGTTAACCGCTGATTCTCGACGTTTGCCTACAGGTCTGGGCCAGCCTAACGTCACGCGGAATCTAATTTCCTTGCCTGCATTCAATTGCAGGCGTTGTTATCTTTACCGTGTTTACCGCCGGCATACAGGTTATCCGTGCAACAAATCCTGCAACCTCGAGGGTCAGTATGGCCAGCGGCTCCCAGGAGCAACGATTCGCTTTGATAGGCCGAAATTTGATTCAAATGCGAAAGGCTGCCGCTGCAGTCCCTTCCTCACCAGTTTTCTGAAAAAATTATTTTAGCTTCAACCGTGGCAACTAAGTAATGAGGGCGGCGTTTGCCTTCCGCACGCAGTGACAACCACATTTCATCATGCCCAAGCCACAGCCAATAGGTTTTCCCCTACGCTAATGAACCAATCCACGAATCAGGACGAGACCGGGCGCTAATTGGTTCTTATTCGCGCCCGCTTTCGTCTATCAGCCAATAACAGGCTAGCGATCGTGTCCCCTTCATCAAGACTACTTCCTGGGACTCGTCTCTTCGCTTCTATTGGCAACAACATAGACTGTCCAAGGTCACCCCGCACGTCATGTTTTTCGCGTGTTGCATCGCCAGAGGATACGTCAAAGGTCAACTTTTGCTTGTACAGGCTGACTATTGGGCTACGTAAGAGAAACTACACCGTTGGCAAAAATACTCTCCGCACACGTAGCACACAGCCCACTAATTTCAGGATTTCCGGAACCATGATTGTATATCCTCCGTACTTCCTATAAGAGGGGACGAACGCCCTGATCGCGCCTAGGACAGCTGTGGTCTCCTTTAATATCTCGCTACAGTGAGAGGGTGGTTTGGGTACGGAGGCTATCAACACCCCGAAGTCCATCGACTCGTTACGTGATTCGGACTGATGACTTCCTAATCCTCCGTCCTCCTGTAGTTAGATCGGAGGCGTGTAAGTGGTGTTTATTGGGTTCATGCAGTACACCGCGGCTGTAACCGATCCCGGTTAGCTTGCAGCTGTAACGTTCCCTCCGATGCCCACCGTTTGTTACGATTTGGGGTCATATACGACTATTATCCTCTTGCAATCCAGTCAGTTTAGACAATCGTTCACATATATTTAAAAAGAATGGAGCACGAAATGGTCACGCACGGAAACCCACCGCAAACCGTCGCCCAATCCAAATTGACGTCAACAATACGCATATGCATAGGTCTTTCTGCAAGAAAGTCAGTCGGCTACTTGAAAACGTTCCCTTTCCCTATCATTTGGCACAGTTTAAATATCAGCAACTTGTGTGAAACACTGTCGAAAATTGTTCTAAAGTCAACGTAGGCTGCATCGACTGGGCAAAGGCTTCCTAAACTCACTGGCCTGAAGCTATATTAAAGACCTTGAAGAGCCTGAGAACCATTTGGTAGGAAAGATTATTTGAAACTGTTTCAAGGACACCATCCGGACCACGCAATTCCACAGATTACAGCCATCCTGAAATTCGCCTTTACTGCACCTGTCGTGGACGTCATACTGCTGTTCAATTAGGTCCGATGATTGGGAAAATATTGCAGCTCGGCGTAACAGGCTTCAGGGGCACGTGGAATTGAAAAGAATCGCATATAATGATCGTCATTCCTGTGTTACTAGTTAATTTACTTCCTGGGAATCGTTTAGAAAGGAGACGCAGTCCCACTTTCATCCTGTCTTGTTCACGCAACTTGCGAATCTTTTTCAGATTACATGATACTTCCTAACAATTCCCTGATTCAGAGGCCGTGCGTTACTTTCTCAATAATTTCTGATATTTATTTCATAGTTTTTGGAAAACAGACACATGTTCTGATTGTGTTCAGCTGGTATATTCCCCTTTCTGCTTGATATTTTTTGTTTCGGAGTCGGGAGACGCGTTGTTTCCACTTCAGCGTACAGAAGCTACCTACCAAATAGGGAACTGAGTTTCTGGTGTTTGGGTCTGACCTGTTTTCAACGCCCCACTCTCCTTCCTTCAGTTATCCTCTTATAGTAGGTCTGCGTCGATCTCGTGGGCGTCGTCGGTAGGCGGTCTTAATGCTGTGGGTTGACTTGTGAAAGCCGCTCCACCGCCCTATTTTTCGGTGTCTGGCTGCTGGCAGGCGACTACGGGAGCAGAGCTAGCCGGAAGACCTGCCGCTAACGCACAGTCACCGTTCAGGCTTGACCTGAAGCATACCTTGTCCAGCTGTGCTGAGTCACGGCTTCGCCCGCAAACAGTCGTCGACCTACGTGGCTTACCACCACTCCTGTCCCCTAATCATGCGTCCATGACTCAACCCATGGCAAACCAATAACATGTCCAACACAGTCAATTACTTCGTTAATAGAAGCGAAGAGAGGAGTTCCAGGAAGCAGTCGTGATGAGGGAGACACGATTGCTGGAAAATGTGCTTTATTAACCCGACATTTCGGATTCTCACTCGAATCCATCGAGTCAGATAAGGGCAGTGGATTGCCCAGGTGTTGCAATATTTATAGGATTTAGTTTCTAAACCGCTACATGCCTATCACAGTTGGCAGCTCCCAAGTGCACCACAACTCGACTGGCCAAGTATTTAAATATGCTGTTGCCATGCCGTTGCCATAACGCCTGTATGCCGATCAAGATTATCGGCTCCCACGCTCATCGCACGTCGCCGAGTGGCTGCCTACCGGATTTCGTCATCCGTATGGACTCTTGGATGATTTGGCTTGCCGACATTGATATCGAGGAAGGTGGTTATTTGCACGTCCTCCTCGCGGCTAACTTCTTTACCTAGGCTAGGTCTCAGCGCTGACTCTGATAGACACGTAGCGGCATAACAATTACATCCTATAAATACTGCAATACCTGGGCAATCCACTACCCTTATCTGACTCTGTCTCTGGTGATGGACAGTGAGAATCCGAAACGTCAGGCTAATAAAGCACGTGTTTCAGTGATCGTGTCTCC